GTAACAGATCCAGAGATTGAAGACAACGAAGGTGGTAGCTACACATTTAAATACCCACTAGATCGTACTGGATTATATGAAGTGAAAATTTAACTGAATGGACAGCCGCTGAATGAGAGTCCGTGGACAGTTCAGGTCATCCCTCATCACTACAAGTTGAAGTTCAGCTTTGGTTCACGTGGCAGTGGACCAGGACGGTTTAACGATCCTCGTGGCGTTGCTGTAAACAAGAAAACAGGAACTATTGCCGTTTCTGAAGATACAAATAATAGAATCCAGCTGTTTAGTCCTGATGGAAACTTTGTGAGAGAGATTAGATTGACCACCCCTTATGGGCGGCCGTCACCACCAAAAATACAAGGATGTCAAATAGATCAGTAAATACAAAGATGGTTTAAGGATCAGCTGCAGGATAGCATAGCTAATAAAGGAATGGCATGGCCAAATTATAGAAGTCTAGGTTTCCTTCATGAAATAGAACGGCCTAAACATAAATAGTTTAGCCAAGTGATAAACGGTCTAGTTGCCCATGTCGAGTTGGAACATGAAATTGTGAAATGGACCAGGTAAATTGCGAATAGTCTAGCGCTCATTTGCAATACAGTACACAAACGGTGTAGCTTTGTGTCAAATGACTCGGGTTAGTACGGACTAGCGCAGCATACGCACAAACGGTGTAGCTTTGTGTCAAATGACTCGGGTTAATACGGACTAGCGCAGCGTACTCACAGACGGTGTAGCTTTGGGTGAAATGGTTCAGCATAATGTCGAGTGGTACAGCGTACATACAAACAATGTAGCTTTGCGGGAAAAGGCTCAGCCTAATGTGGAATGGTACAGCGTACACACAAATGGTGTAGCGTTGTGCGAGATGACTCAGCGTAATGTCAAATGATACATCGTACATACAAACAGCGTAGCGTTACGTGAAATAGCTCAGCGTAATGTCAAATGCTACAACGTTCACACAAACGGTTTAGCGTTGCGTTAAATAGCTCAGCCTTCACGTCACGCCACAAGCAAACTCGACGACTTGCCACAACATCGAAATATTTTATGTAATACTGAGCAATTTAATGTTCAGCGGGAGCGTCTGATGTTCTGCAAAGCTATTCGACGTAACGCTACACCATTCGTGTGTACGCTGTGCCATGCGACATCACGCTGAGCCATTTCACGCAACGCTACACTGTTTGTATGAAGGCTGTACCATTCTACATTACGCTATCCCGCCGAAACCACCAAAAATGCAAACCGCAAATGAAACAGCGATCTGCTGGGGGGCATGACGTCATCGAATGTGAAGAATGGCGCGAAACCATCACATCAGTGTAGTTGCTGTGTTGAAGAGCCTTCACTTCGCCTTGCCGTAAAGCAGAGCCAATTCGGTAAGTTTCTCCTATTTTTCCCCAGCTGATATCGCTTTTATTTGTTTTCCTTCATGAAAGCTTTTATTAAAATAGCAACAAGACTTGATTCTACCACGGTTTGCCGACCTCCTGGTTTCCCACAATTTGCACACGTTGGTGCCTGAATGTTTAAAGTGTTAAGTAGTGTTATGACGTGCGAGAAATGTAGAATGCCGAGCTCTTATTTCTTTTCTGACTCGCGTTCACTTTTCAATGAGAGTTTAACTGCAAAGGGTTTTTGAACATCTCAAAAGTACGTGACAAATTGGATTTTGTGTGGACCATCATGGACGCCATGCTAAGAAAACTGATAGCCTTGATTTGTTTTGACATTTTTCAATCGAAGTGATAACGGAATGCTTTAATTGGTTTTCCTTACGATTAGAGTATTAAGCTAAGGGAAGACTGCTTACATTTATTATTTTAAAGAGGTGTACATTATATTCCTTTTTTTAGTTATTTTTTCCTGGGTGCAGTGATAGTAAAAGTAAATTCTATTTTTATTTTCTCGATCAGGCTCTCTGAGCATTGCAGAAGCTCGTTAGAAGTTGGATTTTGTGTGTGCCCTGGACGCCATGGTAAGAAAACTGAGAGCCTTGATCTGCTTTTACATTTGTCAATCAAACATGTAGTTTTTGCCAAAGCAACCTTTTTATCAAGTTGGCTTTGAGCACATACATGCCTTTCTTGATGAGACACGTCTGCCATAAAATCATAACGATACCTGTGAAGAAAAAAATTCTTAAGGTGGAGACGAGGCACTTGTAAACCAAGCACCAACTTTTTTTTAATTTTTGTTTTTTCATCATCTGGAAGTTTTCATTGCTTTGCCATAAAGGCAAGAAGAGAAACGCTACAAGTCACGCAACTCTAGTCAATACATCTAGTTTGTACCGAACTCAGTCAGTAACAATGATAATAATAATAATAATCATCATCATCATCATCATCGCAAAAATTAATGGTTGAGGTGAAGAAATGTAAAGATAGATATAAATATAAATAAATACTTCTACCGATTCAGAGGGAAGACAAAGTTATAACGAGGATGTTCACATAAACTGTAAAATTCGCTCATCAACATGGGATAGCTTGGAAATAGGTCTGAAGTTGAAGTTCATTTATTTGTTTAAGCAGGTTGATTAACTGGCAGCTGTAATAGCTGATGTGGACCTGCTCTCCTAACCCACCCATCCCACCCCAGGGGAGGACATCCATCACACAGTAATCTCGTGTGTGGGAAATTAACGTCTCCTGCCCTAACCCTGCAGGAGACGGGACCTCCATTTGTTCGTCCCTATCCGAGAAGACTAGAATATCTAACCATTTCTTGATATTATAGAAAGGTAGCAAATTCTTCTCAATTATTTTAAGACCTTGAGTGTTGGTCCGGCCGGTCTAGAGATTGAAGACAAGGAAGATGGTAGTTACACAGTAAAATATGAACCACATCAAGCTGGATTATATGAATTGAAAATTGAAGTTAATGGACAGCCGCTGGATCAAGATCCGTGGACAGTTCAGGTCATCCATCAGTATCAATTTAAGTTTAAGTTTGGTTCAAGTGGCAACGGACCAGGACAATTAATTAATCCTTATGAAATTGCTTTAAGTGAGAAAAGAGGAATTATTTTCGTTTCTGACTATAGAAATAATAGAGTTCAGCTCTTTAACTCCAATGGGAACTACCTGAGAGAGATAGGATTGGGTACCCATTGTGCCTCATTAAGTTTTACCCAGGCCGGACACATAATTGCCGCTACTCCTGATGATGTTAATAAGATTCATCTGCTTGCTGAAGACGGTAGTTTTGTCCAGAACATCAATAGTGCGCACTTAGAGCAGCTTTTTCACGTATCCACGGGAAAAGATGATTGCATTACCGCATATGATAGAATAAAACGTGTCGTATGATGGAATAAAACGTGTCCCCGGATGGAACAGAATTACTGAAACGCTTCAGTGCCTCTGAACATGATGAATCAGTAATGTGTGCAATCTATCACGAGGAGAAATTCTTTCTCTCTGATTCTAAAGCTAACCTTGTTAGAGTTTATGATGAGGACGGAATGTTGCTCTACGATTTTGGCAGCGAGGGGTCTGGTGACGGACAGCTAAGGCATCCCATGGGACTTGCTATAGACAAATTTAACAATTTGATCGTCTGTGATACTCTGAACAGTAGAGTTCAAGTATAGAGGTTTTGCACAGCAGCCATGTTGGATGGCAGGAACAATAGATTATTTTACCCATAGGAAAAAATTTTCTTTCTTATGCAAAATATTTTCATTGTTCCTGCCATCCAACATGGCTGCTGTGCAAAACCTCTTTCCTCTTTGGACGGAAAATTTGTCTCGACAATAGGAAAGTCCGCATTTTTACCGGGTTATGTTGCTGTGTCTAGAAACGGAGATATTTTTGTTAGTGATTTAAAAGAAAACTGTGTTTGTGTCTTTCACTAGAGCTATTCTTATAAGAAACAAAAAATTGTTTCGGCTGTGGTTTTAACCACGATAATGAATTTATATAGCGCAGTAGTAATTATAGATAGTTGCTTGTCTCACAGTCTAGTTTCTTCTGATATTTATTGTCACAGTTATGATGACTTTGTGAGACTAACGATTTTATTTTCCTGTTCGCTCTATTTTTGTTTAACAGTACTTATCAGTCATAATTAATCAGTACTTATGATTAAAAAAATTGCTGAGAAGAACAATTTACTTCAAAGTCTGCCCTCTTGCAAATGGCATACAACTTCATAATTTTACACCTCTCCTGACGACTATTAGGCTTGCCTGGTTAAAAACAAAAAGATTTTGTCGCGTGGTAGATGCTGAAGCCAAAACTTCCCTTAACCAAAAAATCAAACACAACTTCAAGAATACGAAACTTTTATTTTTATTGAGGGACCTGGTACAGGGTTGGCCAATCCCAGCATTCATTTGGATGCTTTCTTACGATCTGTGCGTAATAACTGAGACTATCATTTATAGTTAGGTAGGATGCCATTTCCGCACTATGGAAGTCCAACAACTGTTTAAAAACCTCAGGAAAGAGGCTGAATGTCCTCTGTGCTTGGAGACAGTCAAAGATCCTAGGACTCTGCCATGCATACACTCATTCTGTTTGCTATGCCTCGATAAACACGCGAATTACGCAAGAAGACAGCTTCAGAGAGCAATCAAATGTCCGGTTTGCCAGGCTAGCTTTCAGATCCCCGAAGAGGACACGTGTGGCAGCCTCCCTGCATCTTTTCATCTCAACAGACTCGTGGATCTCCTTGCTCTGAGAGATGGCAGTACAGAGTCCCAGCAATGCGGCAGCTGCGAAGAAAACAACACCGTAACTTACTACTGTTTTGGGTGCCAGAGCTTTCTCTGTACACCTTGTTTTGAAGCTCATCAGCGCATAAAGGCCACTAGAGGTCACAAAAATATCTCTGTCAAGAATTTGCAGGTAGACGATGTCGAAGAGTTGATTTGCAGACCGGTCATGTGTTCAGTGCAATATCACCAAGATCAACCACTTGAATATTATTGCAAAGATTGTAATATTTGCACCTGTATAAAGTGCAGTGTTGTGAGACATAATCGACACACTCTGGTTGATATGCAGAAAGCTGCAGATGAACAAAAGATGCAAATAGCTGAAGCTTTTAGGAAAGTGAAAGCGAAAGTTGTTATTTTTGAAGACGAAATAAGGAACCAAACCGAGTTAATGGACAAAAATAAAACACAAATATCGGCTGCCAGAGACAAGATGAACGAAACTGTCGACGATTGTATTCGCTTATTAACGGAACATAGAGCGATAATGAATGCCAAATTCGATGAAATTAATCAAGCGCATCAAAAAGCTTACGCAACACACCTGGAAAACTTCCAGCTCGCTGTCGGTCATTTGGAAAGTGTTCTTGAACAAGGTAAAAACATTTTAGAGAGGAATATTAATGCTGAAATTTTGCAAGCGAAACCAGTGATAATTGGACGCTGCGAGAACCTTTTAAAAGCAAAAAAACCTAAGACTTACAAACCACCACATGTAACTTACGTTGTAGAACAGGAAGTGGAAATTTTGGATCGAGTTGTGGTGAGTCAAACGGATACCGCTTTGTCAAGTGTCGAACATCTTCTGGGGGTAGGGGTAGAACAGACAGAGACTTATTTTTTTATTGTCACAAGAGATTCAGAGGGAAGACAGAACTACAACGAAGATGATCACATAAAGTGTGACATTTTCACTTCATCAAGGGAAAGTTTAGAAACAGAAATTGATGACGAGGAAAATGGTCGCTACACTGTATTTTATACACCCGATCGAATAGGAACATATGAAGTGGTGATTGAAGTGAATGGACAACCGCTGGATAATAGTCCTTGGAGTGCGCAACCTCTGGATTATAGTCCTTGGAGTGTTAAAGTCATCCATGAGTATCATTTCCAATTTAAAGTTGGTTCAAGTGGTAACAGACCAGGACAGTTTAATGGTCCTTATGATATTGCCATAAGTGAGGAGACAGGAACTATTGCTGTATCTGACTACGAAAATAAAAGAATTCAGCTGTTTGACTCTAATGGCCACTACCTGAGACAGATAAGACTAAGGGCTAGCTGTACATCAGTAGACTTTACCAAGTCCGGTCACATAATTGCTGTTACTCCTGGTGATGTTCACAAGATTTCTTTGTTTTCTGAGGAGGGTCAGTTTGTCAAGCACATCGACAGTAAACACTTAAAGTTTCCTTGTCACATATCGACTGATGACGATGATGATATTACGGTATGTGATCAAGAGAGTAATGAAGTTGTAGTAATCTCATCTGATGGAACAGAGTTAGTAACACGCATCGCTGCTTCAGAGCATGATCAGTCGATAAAGTGCGCCATTTATCACGAGCAAACGGCCTGTTTCTTTGTCTCTGATTCCAAAGCTGACCTTGTCAATGTTTTTGATGAGGATGGAAACTTTCTGAACGAAATTGGTGGTGAAAGGTTACTAAATCCTACTGGACTTGCTATTGATAAATTTAACAATTTGATTGTCTGTGATACTGGGAACCAGAGACTTAAAGTATTTACTACTGAAGGAGACTTTCTCTCAGAGACTGAAAAATGTTTCCATACACCGTATTTTATTGCTGTGTCTAACGAAGGGAAAGTTCTGGTCACTGATTATGAAAAAAACTGTGTTTTTCTTTTTCAATAGACCTGTACTAAACAGCAATAAAAGTGTTAAAAAGAAGTCGTACAGCACAAGTTTAGGGCTCAATCATAAGCACGAAACTCTTTTTTTTAACACAGTAGAATACACATATAATAGAGAGAAAGAAGATAGTAAGCATAAGAACTTTTAAAAATGTTTTGACAAGGACTTTTAAAGTGCACCTACACACAAAAAATTTTTTTCGCTTAACGAAGTAAGCTTATTTTTTTGAGTATTTCTGCGCAAAAATTTTTTTATTTGCTCAAATCTTCAATTTTCTATGCCCAGTCAAAATACGGAAAATCGGCAGCCATCTTGCCCCACGACCGAGTTTAAAGAAGAATGGCTCTAGCGGGTAATGTGACGTCAAATCGAGAACACGAAAGTCTGCATCTCACACATTTTCACTTGTTTGGGAAGATTGTCGTCGATATCGTCCGAAATATGCCGACTAGGTGTGTTGTATGAAGATTGTATGGAGCGCGATACCCTCTTGCAAATTTCGCACGTTGCTACATCCTTCTACAACACACTTAGTCGGCATATTTTCGGACAATTATCGACTACAACCTTCCCAAACAAGTGAAAATGTGTGAAATGCAGACTTTCGTGTTCTCGATTTGACGTCACATTACCCACTAGAGCCATTCCTCTTTAAACTCGGTCGTGGGGCAAGATGGCGGCCGATTTTCCGTATTTTGACTGGGCATAGAAAATTGAAGATTTGAGCAAATAAAAAAATTTTTGCGCAGAAATACTCAAAAAAATAAGCTTACTTCGTTAAGCGAAAAAAATTTTTTGAGTGTAGGTGCACTTTAAGGATT